AAGATTTCAGTTCATTTTCGTTTCCGACTTAAAGTTTTAATTTCAGATTGATTTTCAGGTTAAGGGTTCGTGGTACTATGTACAAATGGACAAACTTTGTATATGGCTGGCAAAAACGGTATTTTGAATTGGAGAACGGCGTTTTAGTATATTACAAATCGGAAGCCGAAAAGCAATACGGACGTCGTGGCTCAATTGCATTGCACATTGCACGGCTTGTGGTTAATTAATGAATTTTTTTTTACGAAATATACATCAAGAACAAAAAGAAAAAGTATGGAATGGAAAATGCATAGCGCATAACAGACAAAATTTAAAAAAAGATGCGCAATAAAATAGAAATTATTTTTTTCCCTTACAATTTTTTATTTGTTATTTTTGATTGCATATCACTTTTTATCGAACTACAGTGTGCCAACTTTTATTTCACTTATAGTTACTTATTATTACAGGAAAGTGATATTGACTTTAATCGATTTGATGTGTTAACGAACGATTGTTGTTGGTATTTAAGAACTGAAAATCCAAAATTTCGGAATTTATGGTTACGTGCTTTAAGATACCAAATGGTTCGTTGCATTTTATTCTAAATATTTTCTTTTTTAAATTTAATAGATAAAATTCTGTTGTTTTAAGTTTGGTTTATTTATTTATGGAATAATTATCGCACTATTTTGATGTTGTTCGAAGTTTTTTTTTGTCAAAATTTTGTTTTAAATCGTAGAATACGTTGGTTTTTTAACAGCTTGGATCAACCAATAAACCAAAGAACCGCTGTTCGACTGACAATTCGGTGAAAAGTACAGATTATGAACATTCGTCGTTATCTGTAACTTTTATTATTTGAATTAAACTAAAAATAGATTTGAATTAATGTATTAAAGCCACTTTTTTACTCATTTTGTTTTTAAAGTCAGTAGAAGCAGTGCGAACATTTTCTATTCGATGTTGTTGGCAGCATTTACATGTATATTTCTATTTTTCTTAGTATTTATACGCTTTAAATCTAGAAATGAGTATTAGTTGATTGGAGAGGAACAGAAACACAACCTAGATTTTTTTTGTTATTATTCATCACACAGCTTTATAATGTGAATCGGTCAGATGTTTCAGTTGTCATTTGATTTCATACCATTGATTTTCTTTCTTTCTTGAGATGGAAAAATTTCCCTGTAAAACAGTCTAAATCTAAATAGAGATGAAGTATTTTCCAGTTAGAATTGATAAATAAGATGGAACAGTTGGAACGTTTCAACGATATGATTGAACGGCAAGCAGTTCGACTGGAAAACTTAATTCATACAATGAAGGATGACAGAGAAAATACTAGTGCTACTTCCCTTCTAGATGAAAGCATAGCACTGAATGCTGTAATTATTGCCGTACTGCAGAATATTAACACATGCGTTCATTTACTCGCAAAACAGGTATTGATAA